CAGAGTAACTGCAGCTGCTCAACCAGGTAACGACTTTGTGACTCGGGCGTTGGGGACATAGAGTAGTGTGTACATAGAATAGATAGACGTAGTCATGTGGTTTTGATTATGAGTTGCTATTGGAATCGTCGCCAATTTATGCTTTTTCAATGTTGATCGTATCAACCTAATCTATTGTCCATTTCGTATTTCAAGTTTCTCATTTTGAGAACCTCTCACCCTCGCGTTCGGCTTCTGTGATGGGCTCTACCATCAAGAAACATCCAAACTATCTAACTCTCGAAAATTATGAGTTTTTGGATGAGCTCACATCCGAAGAAACGCGCACCATTAAAGAAAAATATGCCCATCTTAATAAGAAGCCACCAAACCGTAATGACAATTGGAAAGGGGAACTCAAAGATGTGCACCCTTGGGTTCAGAATGTTTACAAATCTCTGGCGGCAATATGGGAAGGCCTTGCCATTATCCAGGATAAACATAGTGGTGGTCATAGTGGTAGCATCTATGCGGATCATTACCTCACATACCAGTTGTATAAGGATTTATACACTAAAAAAGAAAAAGAAATGGATTGGATAAGATGCTACGCATTTGAAGACAAATTGAGATTGTCGGAGTCCGCCCTAAACGAAGCAATGGTTCAATGTCACAGATACTCCAGGTATTTTTTCGCCGCGAGAGAGAATAGTAAACATAAATATATCTCAATCATTACCGACGGTTCCAACTATGCACTTTGGTATTCGTACTTGAACGAGGAAGGTCATATGTTTGGTGGCTTGACGGACACCATGGAGTGGTCTCAGGAAACGCTGCTGATTGTCGGACGTGTCTTCAAGACTTTCGCCCAAGCTGAAATTGGCAGACTCCGTGCTAATGCTTCTCCACGAGAGCTGGAAAGCTTTTTTCCCGACAAAGACATTGCAAACGTCGATTCTCCTAATACAACATCTACCTCATTCACCCATCGACATTTGAACATAAATAAAGGGTTATACAACGTGATTCTGCAATGGGCAGTAAAACGCTCTCAATTCGGTCTCCCGATCGTGTCGACAAGTATCGGTGAAGTTGAAGCATATCGAATT